GGCTCGCCATAAAAATAGCCACTGCGAAAACTATTTGCAGCAACACAAAGAGCAGGGATGCAACCTAACTGCAAAACATCAAATTAGGATAAAATTCAGAGCATGCATCCCTGCTCTTTGTGTAGCCTATTTCAAATAGATCTAGATCTAGAAATCTAGATCTAGCATTTGGTCATCAAGACTTCTGGTATCTTCTCTGGATGTAAACAAATGGATTGTGGACTTTAACGAACGCAACTAACATAAAGATCACCGCCTAGGTTAGCCTAATTTAGATGAGATGAAACAAGCTTCCTCACCTTGCTGTCACTTTATACTTTATCTAGATAGATCTAGATCTAGATTTAGATCTAGACCTAGTCTAGCTAGACTAGATTCTAGATCTAGTGACTTGACAAAAACATGTTTAACACACTATTATTGAGCAACTGTAGTAAAATGCTAAACTGCCTAAACGTATTGCACGAGGAAGTTACACAATCAATAGATCTAAGTCTTGATCTAGATCTCTAGTACTATTAGACTATAGCTCTACATTGCAATTATTTTATTATTCCACCACTTTTTTCCACTGCCTGCCAAGGCCTTCGAAAAGTACTTAGATCTAGATCTAGATCTAGATAGCCTATAGATCTAATCTAGGGCTGCCACTGACGACGTAACTTTTCACTTCTCACAGGCTTAGGCCAAGTTAGGGGTACATTAGTCTAGGCCAACTTGGTCGAGTCTAGAATCTCTACAGGGTTATCGTTCGTGGTCCATCAAGCAGTAGACGAACACTTGCAACTTTTAACATTCGAGAGCTCGTCGTTTTTGTTTTGTTTTGTTTTGTTTTGTTGGGTTGGGTCCACAGAATTCTACACTAAGTGTAGAATTCTGTGGGTTGGGTTGACAATAAATGGGTTGGGGTTGTTGTTGTTGGGGTTTTTTTCATTCTGGAAACGAGGTGTGAGCAGTGGGCAGCAATCACGTCTGCCTGAGGATAAAAGTAAAAGCCTTCTCTCGCTGCCTACCTAATGAAAGCATGGTCAGTCTGCGCCACAGAATTCTACACTTAGACAGTAGAATTCTGTGGTCTGCGCCAATGATTTAAATACCTTGATATAAAGCAATGGGGCGAAAAGCGTGCGAGCTCACCAAACTCCCGGGGGGAATACGTTTTACTTTTAGAACACTAAACTAAGTCTCACCCACCCCCCACCCCCCACGAAAAGCCTTTTTTTCATCACGAGGGTGATAAAATCAGTCCTCTTTGATTCTCAACACTTAATTAAGAATTAGAAACAATATAATAATATGTTGATCTACCACAATTTCTGTGGGCCTTAATTACTCACCATCATGATACTGCATGCTGGGCAGTTATTGAACATTTCTATGAAAAAGACAGTGCAGTGCCTTTAGGTTTATTCAGGGTGGCACCGAAGTTAACCAACAGAGTGTCAAGTTTTGAACGACAAAGGGTTTGTTTGGCTGTGCACGTGCTTAGTCGCAGAATATCAAAAGCAGTTAAATTGGGACACTAAATAAATGTAGCTCGGAATTAATCCTTTGTCTGACATCGCTATATCTGATTTCTGTAATGACTTTGATGATCTTTTCAACGTTTTCATTAGGTTACTGTGTCATTCTCTGTCGGATATATCGTAACCCAGTCACAACTACATCTACATCACAGCACTGCGCATTTTTGCAGCAGACACTTTTGTGGTTGAAAGATATTTCTTGAAGTTTGACCCAGAAGACAAAAAAAAAAGTTGCCAAAGCATTAATATATCAGTGAGTGGATCCACAACATCACTGCTTTGCAAGGTCTTGTGGCAGACATTGTGAGCTGTTACTGGGGGATTATACTAACAGTGATACTGTATCAAGATGAACTTGAACATTATTTTGTTCTAGTCACCAGAGGAAACAGTGGACATCTGACAATCTAGACCCTCCACAACATTTACATTTTCGTTTGAAGAGACAGATAATGGCGGACAAAATTATGATCGCATCGCCTTTATGCAGTTGCAGGGATGTATGTGGATAGCTTTTTGATAAATCAAAATTTAACGGGTAAGAATTTCAGTCAAACAATGGTTGCAATTCCGGTAGACACGTCATTGTTAATTTTGTTCAATTTTGCAATACATTAAAGATGCAATGCACTTAAAAATGAAATTTCTGACGTAAGTGGATACACTTTGAAGAAACTTTACGATGTCTTCAAGGACCAGAGCTGTTAAAGTACTTTTAAAAAAGTACTTAAGTACAAATTTAAGTACAATCTAAAAAATGTACTTAAGTACAGTAAAAGTACTTTCCTATAAAATGTACTTGAGTACAAGTACTTTTTTAAAAAGTACTTATGAGTACATTTTGAGTACTTTCTGCTAATATGCTAAAACACTTCAGCGCTTATGCAAAACATCATATTGTATAACTTATCCAGTATATTTGACAAATTAGGCTATTTATTACTAAAAATGTAAACAGTATACAAAGCATTTGAATATACAATGTACGCACTGAACGGTGGAAATGGTAGGTGAAATTGAACAAAAAACAACCCAAACGAACAGACGCAACTAGTGGGTAAGTGATATTATGAATAGAAAATGTTTGAGCAAGACAATGAGATCAAATGTAAGTCAGTCCAAGAGGTCGGAAAGTTCTACAGAAAGAGTATCCAAATTGAAAAATGTAGATAGAAAGTTGCTCTTAAGAAAACGTAAAATTGATGAAAATGACCCGCATAGAAATGGAAAAGTGCATTGAATTCTTCATTAACAAATCCTCAAGGAATCAATGTAGCCTTAAGCAAAAACCACCCAAAAGAGTTTAAAAGAAATTTAGGCATCCTAAAAATTGTTAGATACGCATTGAGAACACAGTTTCAGTTTCAATTGATTATAGTGCTACCGTAAGCTGACAAAACGCCTTTTTTTCATTTTGGCGCCATATTATTTTATTTGCTTAATTAATCGAAATCCTGATCCGTTACTATACTTGCGAGAAAAATGAAAGTGAAACTATGAATGGTTTTTTAACAAATTAGAATTCAAATTTCTGAAAAACACTTTATTTAAAATGGTTACTGTGACAAATAAAAAACATTTTTCTCAAAACTGATATGGATTTTTAAAAAAGGCGTTTTGTCAGCTTACGGCAGAGTGGTCTGACAGATTTTGGTCACACTGTGTAGTCCACGGCGCCAACGACAAACCAAAAGACAATAGTTTCCTAGAGTCTAGTAAGTGTAGTGTAACCAAAGATTCTCTACTGCAGTAGTCTCCGCCTAAGATCCCAGTGCTCGGAAGCAAGGGAAATATGGGATCTTAGCCAACGAAGCCAAGGAAGAATCTACAGTGACCCATGAACTGAGGTGACCCCTGGGTGGATTTATGACATATGGCAAGCAAAGAGTGGTCGACCTTGATGACCAATCACAGTGGCATGAGGCATGCCATAAATAATATTATATATACACACTCATTAACCTATCGTGAGTCTTGAGATCTTTATCTATGTTTATCCAGTTGCCCCTCCCCTTTACCTGTCCAACAATTTTAGCTTTCCATCTCTGATTGAGTCCCCCCCCCCCCCCCCCCCCCCCCCCAACCTCCTTTGTTGTTACGCGCCATTACGATGTGACCACACTAATTAAAATTCAGGTTGTCTCGCAAATTCGGGAAAAACTGCTTTCAATGGTCAGGGAAGAGTTCACAGTTTGATGTGATCCCGCCTGGAGCGAACTTGTAGGCCCTACCCACCCAGGGAGTGATGTAAGTTTAGGTGGTGAGGTCAGATGCGAGTGCGATGTTTGGGGAAAAGAAACGCATCGGTCAGTTCACACCTTGGTGTGATCCCGTCTGGAGCAAACACTGTACCGTTTCAAGGAGTTTTACAACGCTTGTGATCACATTCACGATAGTGGCTGATCTTTGAGGCGACGGGCCGTTCTTTGATCTCAACTTTTAACTCTTGGCGGTTGATCGGGTTTTTGTTCCGTAAATTATTATCAGAAATGCCTGCACTTACCCTTTCATTAAGCTACCAAAGTACTCAAAATGTACTTAAAAAGTACTCAAAAGTACTTTTATAAAAAGTATCGGAGTACAGTAAAAGTACTGGTTTCAAAAATGTACCGGAGTACAGTAAAAGTACCGAAAATTGTAACGTAAGTACAAGTACCTGAGTACTTGTACTCCGTTACTACCAGCTCTGTCAAGGACTGTACAGGGATATTGGAAGATGCCTCATCTTCCCATGCAAGGCACCTAGCTGACCCTCATCAGCCATGCAGAAACAATTGAACATTCATGTCGTCACGATGGCTTGAAAAATTTGTTGGAATTTGTTGGTTTGTTTGAAGCTGGGTTTTTTTTTTTCTAAAGTTGAAAATGCCCCAGGAGCCAAACGTAATTGAAAGCAAAGGTGATTCCTGAAAATGCAACACAGTGGACTATGAGTCAGTGTATTTATTAACGTCAGACTGCACGATGATCTTTTCAGCGCAGTAAAAAATTCGTGGCGCAACTTGTTCTCAAACATCTCTTTAATGGGTGAATCAATGTACCGTAACCTAAACTTTGCACAGCAGTTTATTGTACATGTATCAATTTGTCTTAACGTATTCATATTTTTGGACAACCATTGAGGCTAGATTTAAAAACGTATCTTCATGAATTTATATAAAATACTAAAATGGGGCCAACTGGTCACCCCACAGCTCGTGTTATAGTAACACTGCGTGTGTTGGGTGAGCCCATTAAAGGCATGATGTGGGGGAAGGCCATGGTCAAATGACGTCATTTTTTAGTCCGAGATCGAAATTGGGCTGTTAACGGATTCGAGTACTCTGAAATGTCTACTTTCCCGACATGAAGGTCTTATATGTCCCTGTCAATAGCAGAACATGTTCAAAAACACTCACAAAGATGACATCCCCCTTCCTCTAAGTGAAAGAAACGCATTTTTTGCCCTAAAATGTCCCTCTTTTTTGTAATAGAAGGCATAAAGCTCTCCACACGCTCAAAAATCAATCATGTTATACATCATTTTGAAGATTGTGATCTCTACTTTCGCAAAATGGCGATTAAAAAGCAGTTGGGACTTGATCATTGATGTAAATAAGTTACAAGTAATATAGATGTTTCCATTATTATTTAGCTGAGAATGATGGGTCGTTATTATGTATGTAACTAGAATACTGGGCACGTGCATGTGCAGTTCATAACACATTTAACTAAGTTCAAATTCAAGTTAATCAGCATTTTGTGAATGAACTCCCCTGACAGTGCATGAGCACTTGAACATTGAACATGCCAGAACTGGTCAAATACAGAAGATTTCGACCAAAGCCAAGGAGTTTAGAACTAATGGAGCCTCCTCTCTCCCTTCGCGGCGCCACGAGCAGTATGCCGCGGTGGGGATCAAATATGGCCGCCGAGTGTGGGCTAAATCTCGAACTGTGGCGTTTCTTTTTATAGAATCTTATCGGGCTGGGCCACGTTGTGGGGGTGGGCGGGGTGGGGGAATGCACGCAAGGAAGAGGGGATGGGGCAGGGATGAAAGAGGAGGGGCGGGCCTTGGGAAGGGACGAATGAGAATGGGAAAAATTAAATAAAAGAGAGAGA